TTTAGGGCCTTTTAGGGTTTAGGGGTTTAGGGGCCGGTACCCTTGTGGAGCATAAGAAGCCTGGTGCGATCCCCCACCCCAGTCTTGAGGCCTGGGTAGCCCGAAGCCCTAAACCTCCAAGGCCCAACAGCCCAAACCACGAGCCAGGACTCTACGCCTCGCTGGGGTTCAGGATCTACAACATATTCAAGATTTCGGGTTTTAGGGTTTTGGTTCAGGATCTACAACATATTCAAGATTTCGGGTTGTTTTTAGGTTTGGGGTTTCACAGTTCGGGGTTGCAACTACACTGCTCACGACAAGTCCACAATCGCCAATCGCACTGACTGAAGCATCAAGGCATCAGCGAGCAGAATTCCAAACCACCCACTAATCCCCACCGAATCCGAAGACCAGTCCAGAAGAACTCAAATAACCTTCGACGTTCACCAGCAAGGAACGTCCGCTGGCTAAAGCCGCCTAGTGTTCAGGGCTGTGAGCTCATCATACAGAAGTCCTGTACACGGAGACAGCTTCGTCCGTCAACCCTCCGTCCTGAGGGCGGCACAAAGCCCGACGTGTGGAAGGCTAAGCCTAGACACAAAGTTCCGATTATTTTTGGGGCCAGCATAGTCTGCATGTAAAACGATCATGCAAAGCATGGCTCTTATCTTCCATCACCGCTCCTATACCCGGGGGGGAATCCACTTGATCAGCCTCCTCTCATGGAATGAGCCGCTGGTCTGTTCGGTGGATTGTGTAAAGGCTTCAAGACATGGATGCACATCGATCGCCATGCAGGGATGATGCATGCGACGGGGGCCAAGTAGCACAGGGTTTGAAAACGAACATAAGATATCGGTCGGATATTGTTTGCCTATGCTATTCCTCAGGGTTCCTTATCATACCCGTACTATAACTAACACACAAAAATCCTCTTCTTTGTTCTAACTAATCTCCAGCATACCGGCTCTGGCAGCTTCGATTAAGCTGTGCGGCGGTCAGAGACAAGGCACTCTGGAACAGTTTCTGCCTCAGATCCAAAATCCAAAAGGGTTAGGGTTTGCTTATATTTTGTTAGGGCCTTTTTCCGTCTGCTAAGTTTTTGGGGTTTTGGTTTCAGGGCTTTGCGGTTATCTGTGTCGACCTCTGAAAAAAGCTGGTGGCGGGGGGGGGGGGGGGGG